GCACGTCCTGCCTCATCTGTGTGCTCAGGGAGTGTGATCATGCTCATGTCTCCATCCTTCCCAGCCCTGCCCATCAAGTTCACAAAGGGCCTGAAGAAGGAAGAGGCCAAGGAAGGGGCAACAGTTACACTGCGCTGTGAGCTGAGCAAGGAGGCCCCTGTGGAGTGGAGGAAGGGGACAGAGATCCTCAGACCTGGGGACAGAGTCAACATGAGGCAGGACGGGGCCATGTGTGAGCTGGAGATCCGTGACCTGACCATGGCAGACGCTGGGGAGTACTCGTGCGTGTGTGGGCAGGAGAGAACCTCAGCCACGCTCAACGTCAAGGGTAAAGACTACGTGTGGCCAAACATAGCTGTGTTTGGTGTCCAGTTGTTGACTTGATGGCATCTCCCTGCATTCATGCCACCTTCCCTCCTCATCTCAGTGTCAACCCCTTCTCATAGCTCCATGGAATTCCTCCCACCTTCCTGGGCTTTTGTGTGAACCAGGAGAAACCAGCATCTGAGCTACTTCCCACCCAGGATGTCACTGCTGGTTCAGTGCCATTGGCCTGCTGGTCTCTGTCTTATCCTCTGTCGTGTCATGTCCTGTCTCCAAAGTTCTCCTGAGACTCTGAAGTTTTATGTCTGTCTGACCCTCCCCAGCCCTACCTGCCAAGTTCATAAAGGGCCTGATGAAGGAAGAGGCCACAGAAGGAGCCAGAGCTGTACTGTGCTGTGAGCTGAACAAGGAGGCCCCCGTGGAGTGGATGAAGGGGCCCAAGACCCTCAAATCTGAGGACAGACTGACGCTGAGGCATGATGGTGCTGTGTGTGAGCTGGAGATCCGTGGCCTGACCATGGCAGATGCTGGGGAGTACTCGTGCGTGTGTGGGCAGGAGAGAACCTTGGGCACACTCATCGTCAAGGGTAAAGACCACATGTGGCCAAGCAGAGATGTGTTTGCTGTCTAATTGTTGACTTGATGGTTTCTCCCTGCACTCATCCCACCTTCCCACCCATCTCAGCATCACCTTCTTCTCTTAGCTCCATGGAATTCCTTCCACCTTCCTGGGCTGTTGTGTGAACCAGGAGAAACCAGCATCTGAGCTACTTCCCACCTGTCATGTCAGTGCTGGTTCTGTGCCGTTGGCCTGCTGGTCTCTGTCTTTTCCTCTGTCGTGTCATGTCCTGTCTCCAAAGTTCTCTCACGACTCTGATGTTCTGTGTCTGTATGACCCTTTCCAGCCCTGCCTGCTGAGTTCATAGGCAGAATGAGAAGCAAGGAAGCCACAGAAGGGGCCACGGCCACCCTGTACTGTGAGCTGAACAAGGAGGCCCCTGTGGAGTGGAAAAAGGGGCTTGAGACCCTCAGAGCTGGGGACAGAGTGAGCCTGAAGCAGGACGGGGCCGTGTGTGAGCTGGAGATCCGTGACCTGACCATGGCAGATGCTGGGGAGTACTCGTGCGTGTGTGGGCAGGAGAGAACCTCGGCCACGCTCACCGTCAAGGGTAAAGATCATGTGTGGCCACACGGACTGCTGTTTGGTGTCTGCCCATTCCTTCTCTGCTCTCATTTTCCTTTTCTACCCTGCTCTCTCAGTGTGTCCTGGTCTTCCTTTCCTAATTATATCATTGTCCCTGTCTGGCTCCCTGGCTGTTCTGTGGCACATGTATAGGTTGGATCTTTTAAAGTCACAGTCCCGGGAGTGTGCTGGGTGCACCCATCAAGTGGTCTGTGTCCTCCTGACTTGTGTGTCTTCTGTGTACTGTCCATAACCTGGTTTTTCTGTGTGTTCAGGAGCATGAGAGTGTTTGTTTGTGTCTTTCTGACCATCTCTAGCCCTGCCTGCCAAGTTCACAAAGGACCTGAGGAAGGAAGAGGCCACAGAAGGAACCACAGCTACACTGTGCTGTGAGCTGAGCAAGGAGGCCCCCGTGGAGTGGAGGAAGGGGCCCAAGACCCTCAAATCTGAGGACAGAGTGACCCTGAGGCAGGACGGGGCCATGTGTGAGCTGGAGATCCGTGGCCTGACCATGGCGGATGCTGGGGAGTACTCGTGCGTGTGTGGGCAGGAGAGAACCTCGGCCACGCTCACCGTCAAGGGTAAAGA